CCGGCAAATCATTCGCCGAAGATGAGCCAATATGGTTGAGAAGGTTCTGTAAACCGGCGAGAGATGGAGCTAAAGTGTTCGTAGTGGGGAGTCACTTCCGGGATACCATTGAAGTGAGTCCCCTGTCCCTTTAACATGGTTCCCAATGGTTTCTCACATAGATCTCTGAGGATGACAATGGAATTCCTTTAAACTTTTCTCTGTAGATGTAACATAGCTCTGGAATAAACCAGGTAATTCCGGTCCGGAAGTCCGTGGGAGGAACCATCTACATTCCACAATAGGCCACGTCACAATATTTTCTCCAATTACAGACGTTGTTTTCTGCGTCCTTTTTGATGTATGGTGTGTCATCTATGGGTAGACAGACACCCTTGCATTTACATGTGATTCCTCTTTTGGGTGACACATCATCTGCATTTTATTCTTATCTCTCCAAGATGCATAATGCTGCTGTTGCAGATTATGTATTCGTCTTTTTTTTCCGTAACTTTTCACCATTGTCAAAAGACTGCCGATGGTTGAGGCATAAGCGGTTTCCCAACAATGAGCCGAAGTTGGCTAAGTGAAGGACCAGCAGGACATGCCTGACCATAACCCGGCTTAAACCAACCATATGCCAGTTAAAGCCCAATTAAGGCTTATATACGAAAAGACGAAAAACCATCCATGGCGAGATGAAAAATTGTCTGGGCATCGATACGTTTTCGATTCTCATTAAAGTGTAGACTCGCGTCGACGCACGTTCCATCGATACACGCTAGGGAGCAACTCCTTCAATTTAGTCAATATATCAATATTTACAGATTCGTACTAGTGCCGAAAACACGGCGTGCAAAAATCGCAGAAAACACCGACTTCACACTCGATTTCGTCGGACCCGTCCTCGCAGTCCTCGACGGTGTCGCAGCGCCGATCCGCGTCGATGCACGCTACGTTCCCGCACGTGAACGTACCCTCCGCACACGCTGCATCATCGAGTTCCTCTTATTCAGCCGAGAGTCCAACGACGGACCGAGAAGGTAAGAATCGACTTTGAACTTACGGCATCCTCTTTCGTCGGAGCCATCGGGGCAATCATTGTAGGAGTCGCACTTGTACTTGATCAGGATACAACCGCCCATATCGCATCGGAATTCTTCCGTGGTGCACCCTACATACATATCGTACCAAGACTAGCAATGTACACGTGCACCAATTCCAGAATATGACAAGCAGAACTCAACTGTCATCTAAAAAACCCAGTGTTTCTTAAAGTAAAATTATTTTAAATAAAATTACTTTCCAATTTGATCATTCGTTCTTTCCTTGAATTTTGACAATCTTCCAATATAGAAATCAGATTTTTTCCGGAAATTTATCGTAAATTTATGCGTTTCAGTTTCCTATTGTGTGGAATTACGGGAATCCGGTGGTGTCCTTACCCTTAGGGCATCCAACTTCGTCAGATCCGTCGTTGCAATCGCTTTTCCCATCGCATTTCTGGGTCAACGGGATGCAAACCCGATTGGAACAAGTAAATTCGTGTTGTCCGCATGACACGTCCGTATCTGCTGCAGTTACACCCGGACTCACTTAATCACATTGCATAATAGCCACCGAGAATTAATGACTTATGTATGGACTCACGGCAGTCCAGTTCATCGAATCCGTCCAAGCAGTCCTTCATGCCGTCGCAATACGCGTCTGCTTCCACACATTCCCCGCTCCAACACATAAACTCATCGTCGCGACATGCTGTAAACATTCCGACAGATTTATCTTTCCCAACCTTTTATGCACAGGGTTCCATTTTTAGCATATCGATTTCAGACACTCACAGCAGCTGCTTCTGGAGGTAAAGGTGGGATGAGCATTTTCTCGATCGGTTCCTTCATGGGTCCATCTTCGCTGAGAATGCATCAAGTGTGATTCATTATAGGAACAGCCACTGGAAACAATGAGGGATTTT